CAGCACACAACCATAGAGAAAATAAAAAGAAAAAGAACTGAACAAGATTCCTAAAAGAATAAGAATCTTGTTAGAAGAAGGACAAAATGATATTTCACAAGACATAGGATAGTGACAATAAGTATCCAAAAAGAAAACATCATTACCCAAAGGTTCTTATTTAGCATATTTCTTGAATCCACTAGATAAATTTCACCTTTATGAAAAAGTTAAGTATTATAAAAGTCTTAGAAAACCTTTTACTTAAACTGTTTTATCAGAAGTAAAGAATCCTCTTCTGAATCTCGAAATCTGACAACTTTCAGAAGCTATCATTCATCAAATGTTGTAAACAACCTTTAAGAATTGCCATGAAAGATGCCTCTACTCATTTCTTTGATATCTGTAGCAGGTACATTTAAATCGTGAAACTTTTATTTTTATGAGACCATACATAAATGTTCAAAAAGGCCTTCCTTCGTCTTATGCCACATTCTGATAGTAGTACCATGATTTGTTCCAAAGTATCAGTCTAAAATAAACTACAATATGATTAAGATCTTGTGCTTAGCAGAATCACTAATTTCATTGTCTTGACTCAGGACATTGAGATCTTTGATAAGCAAAGAACCAAATGATGTTAGCTATCAGAGAATGGCATAAAACAAATTAAAGCAGCATCATCTAATTGCATGTATAACACAAAGAAAAATGGAAGGTTTCTCTTGGACTTGTCCTTTAATACAAATTCCATGATGACCCTCAATCAAGGAGCAATGGAGTCTCTTAAGATATCACCTTAAAGATCCGACTCCTTATTATCAAATATTGAAGTAAGATAGATTTGGCATAATCTCTTTATCTTTAATACTTGATTTTTATTTCAGAACTCATATGTTTCTTCAAAAGTAGTAATGACTGACAGATCCAGATTACTTTTATATTTGAATCCTGCACTAATGTCATCTTCAAAAGAATATGTAGTGAAGATTAACTGACATTAGGTTCTAGTAGTGTTTCTCCTTGCTTTCAGATCTAGGAATCATTTGAAATACAAGTATTTCATAAGCTTCTGATGTTACTTTTCTATCAATAAATATTACAACTCGCCCAGCTGGTTGAGAAGTACTTCTAACAAGAAATATGAGTTCCTTATAATCATACACTCCAAATAACCAAGCTTTTGGAAATGTGATACGTTAGATAGTTTTTCATCATCTAATTTCATTTATTTTCTTTGAAGATTTGTAAGACAAACCAACATATCACAATAAATTCAAGTTATATAACTTCTTGAATAACTGTGACCTCGAGTTTGAATTTAAACCAATCTTCTCAAAATTTGCTTGAAAGATCGGATGAAGTGTAACTAGACAAGCTTCAAAACTAACTCCCATAAATTTGAGCACAAGGATTCAAAGATAGTCCGAGCATCGGATATATCAATGATGTTGACATACTCAGAAGTGAGATAGAACACCTACTAGAATGCAACTACCTCTGAAGATATTCAATAAGTTTCTTCTGAGCTGGTGATTGAGACTTTCAAATAGATTATATCTACATCATTAACTTCTATAGTAATAGCTTTTGAAAGGATATTCTATAGACCTTCATAACCCCTTTTATCAAGACCAATGAGTTTAAAATATATTTTGTTTTTCCATCATTTAAATTCAATGGAATCACCCTTTGAATATGGTAAGAAAAGCAGTATAATATTTTTCATGTGGCACTAGGTTCCTTATTGAAGAAAAGTCTTTGATAGACATACTTTTCTTATTGGATCATTATACGCGCCACTGTTACGTGTTAAGTATATACTAGACTCTGATACCAATTGAAGGTGAGAAAAGTAAACAAGAAGAGGGAGTTGAATTGTGTTTTCTGTTTTCTTAGTTTGCATCTGACTAGAGTTCAGAATCTAAACTAGTGTTCAGATTCTAGTTAATTCTTAGCAGCAGAATGTTAATAGAAGCAAATAAATAATAGCATAAGACACAAAGATTTATATTGGTTCCTCCCATAACTGAGAGTATCCCAACCCCCTTACTTCACAAGAGATTTTCACTATACTCAAAACATGATTAAAATAACTTATGCATTATGTATAAGACATTTACACTTGCTCAAACCCAAGGTCTAAGACTTCTGCTCAAACTCCTCACACGAGACTTCCTGCTCAGGTTCCACAAACCCAAGACTTTTACAATTACAACCTACATCAGAAAAATTTGCATATATATTGAGTTGATAATTGTTGATCTTGTTACTCTTTCTTCTAGTTGATCCTTGTTAAAGATCCAATTTGAACATTCATCCTTATTTATAGCCTTTTCAAAAACTAGTCGTTGAGGAGGTAACTTGATCAAAAGTCTTTGCTTTACTCTATAGTATAAGAGTCGTTGAAGATATATACACCATAAGATCTTAATCCAATGTGTAACATATTTAACCTTTGAGTCTTCAAAAGATCCTGTATAAGACAAGCGTTGAGAGTAAATATCCATAAAGCATCTCATTCTTTCTTGAGCCTTGCAATTTGTAAACTCTATCTGATAAAGTGATTTGACAATACAACTTTCTTTCTACAGTATAAACAACTTCAGTTTTACCACCAACTCTGAATGGTGCCATTAGCCAATTTGCATTCACTAAGTATAGATACAATTATGTTGCTTCTTCTAATGTTGAGACCTTCAGCTTCATAGTTTATGCCAGACATCACTTAGCAAGTGTTTTTAAGATTCTGTCACCATAAGCTAGCAATTCAGCAACTCTCAAAGTGTGCTTAATGTAAAATAAATTTTGACGATAATATTTACAAGTATTAGAACCTGCACACATGCAACACACATAAAATAAACCATTGTTATTTAAATACTTTGTTATCATCGAAATCCAAGAAAAATGTGTCATGAACAAATCTTGTTCTAACAGCACAAACGATACATCAATAGTTATAAAACAATAACCTCATAAACTATTTATCCAGATAATTTTAACATAAAGTATGCATTGATGTCAAAACAATATTATAAAACATAAAGAACGATTGACTCCCACTAATCTAATACATTCTTAGTGACATCAACCATATGAAAAAGCTTATCGGTGCATTTTGTTTGCAAAATAGGAAGTATTGGGCAAAACAATATTAGACATTACAAAAAAAATACTTGAAACCTTTTTGTCCTCCACTGAGTTTAATGGTGAATGCTATAGATAATTTTTACTCTATTTTATTTGATATGTGTCGCAACTGCGAAAAAGGGCCGACGAAAACAAACAGAAGAGTCTCTGCCAAACGTTATTTATCCAAAAGAGAGGGAAAGGAAACGATTGAAGAAAACCTGAAGAACGAGAAAAGACAAGATCATCGCAACCAAATCTTGGGTTCGGGAGTCGGTTACGCAAGGGGAAGGTATGAGCATCCCTCACGTCCGTTGTACTCAATGGGATCCATGTTTGTTGTCTAATCTTTGGGTGAAAGTTATCTAAAAGCTACTACTAAACGGGGGTGAAGAGAAAGAACAGACTTGATAGGACATCTCCGCCCTATGCCTACGTATTCCCTCGTGCAATGGGAAAGTCAGAGTCAACGTAGTTCGGGAAACTACGGGTGATGGGGGGAGGTTGCTCACAAAGACATCGCCGTCTTGTGCCTACGTATCCTCATCTGGTTCGAGAAATCAGAGCAAACGTAGTTCGGTTAACCTAGACCATTGGTTGGTTAAGTATTTTTTTATGAGTGATGCTAAGTTTCCATTCCAGCAGTTAGGGACGATTCCTGTTTGCGGTAGAATAGAAAAACAACGTACTCTTTTCTGAAAATGAAGTTTAAAAGCAATCCCGAAGGATGAAAAGGTTTGAGTTTTGTTTGTGAGTTTTAATGAAGTGGATTGAGTTAGTTTGAGACTCGCGTTGCACTAAATACTATGACACGGGGGTGAATGCGTCGCATATCGCCCAAAGGGCATACGTTAAACACTCTAGACAAGCGAGGAGAAATCTCCCCCACTCATCATTCCCCATGTACTTAAGGCTCGTAGTGCATGACGCTTACCATTCTTTATTGAGTGTCTTGAAGAAATTTAAGGTGAGAAGAAAGAGAGAGACGCGCGCAAAGACTTAGGGGAAATTGAACCCTAATTGTTGTCATGCAATGTGGCCCTAAGGTCAGGATTAGGAGGAAAACCTACCTAATGTTATCATGCTTGGATTGAAAGCCTAATGTCTCTCCTATCTTAGACTTAATCGGAAATTAAGTCGAGCTAGGAATCCTAAGGGATCATGTGAATATAGGAGGTAAACAACAAGTAAACACGAAGCAACGCAATCACAGACGACGTCAAGTATCAAACTCAAATTAAAATTCACGGGAAAATATGTACAAGTGTATTTACAAACGCACTCGAGAATTAATCGAAAACCATAATTGAAAGAAGAAGAAATAGTCAAAAGTCTAATCCTATGTTAATTCAAAAATTAATTTCTAAATCTAATTCTAGTCTTAAGTTAAATTCTAAGTTAAAATAAAAACTAAATAAAAGTATAATCCTATGATACCTTAATCCTAATCTAACTCTAAATTAAGAAATAAACCTAATCCTAATATAACTCTAAATTAAGAAATAAACCTAATCCTAATATAACTCTAAATTTAGAAATAAACCTAATCCTAATATTAATCTAAAACTACTAATAAATTTAAAAACTAAATGAAAACTAATTAAATCTTAATTAAATAAAATCTAACTAAAATTCTAAATCCTAAAGTTAAAGTTAATCAACAAAATAAATTTAGAATAACAAATAAAAAAAAGTTGCAGCAAACAAAAGGGTGGTAAAGAAAACCGGGCTTGGTCTCTAGGTTCAGGCCCAACGGCCTATCCCCGCACAGTCAAGGGAGGGTACATGTTAAACAGGGTGGTGTAAACGTTAAAGAACCAAACGGGCTTAAGGCCCAATCCCAACTCAGTTAACCTAATCACCAACACAAAGTTACATCCTTCATAATCTCATTCGTTCTCCTTTCTTCCACTTTTTCGGCGTGTGCTATCAGAAGGAATTAGAGTCACATCCTCTATGCGACCAATTTTCATTTCTGGACGAGCTAAGGCACGGAGAGCAGCCTGAGCACCAGGGCATTGTGTTTTTGTCTTGTTTCCTCCAGTTGCACAAAGCTTGATATGAAGAGCAGTTATTCCCGACTCCTTGCACCGAGTAGCTACATCTTGTGCAGCAAGCATAAAAGCATATGGAAATGAATCATCTCTGTCAGCTTTAACTTTCATCCCACCAGTAATACGGACAAGGGTTTCTCTCATTTCTTCTTCTCTTCTTCTACTCTCTTCTTCATCTCACTCTCGTTTCGATTTCGCTCCGATTTCACTCAACCTTAAGGTCCGGTTCGCCTCTCTTACGACTCAATTCATCTTGAGGTTACTCTCTTCATCTTTTCCCCTTTTTCTGATTATGGTTTGTGATTTGGGTTTACCGTGTTATTTGGTTGAAGGGGGTTGGTGAAAGGGTAAGGTTTTGATTTGGGTTAAAGCGAAATTCAAAGGAAGACTCACGGGGGCTTTGAAGGAGAGGAAAGAGGTGAGTGGATGGTTTGTGGGTACGTTGAAAATGATGATGTTGTAAGGATGTGTGGTTTTGTGTATTCTTCTCTGAGTTTTTATGAGTTGTTGTGATTTTATTGTGGATAGCAGGTCTTATGAATGATTCGGCTGAGATTATAGGACAAGTTTTTTTGGTGTGTAGTGGATACATGGCTTACGGTTTTGGCAAAAGGTTTCGTGGAGTTTTGTGGCTGTTGTGTAGGTAGTGCTGGGTGTAGGTTGCTGTCATGAAGCCGATTTTTGTTTTGGAGTGACTTTAATTTTCTTTTTGTTGTTCTCTTTCTTCTTTTTCGGATTCAACATCAAAACTTGTGGATTTCTTTATTTCTGATACCAATGTTTTTTGGCTGCTATTGATTGCAGGTTTGGTCTGGTGTGCAGTGGTTTTTTTTCTTGGATTATTATGGTTGCTGGCTGGATGCGCGTGGTTGGGAGCTGCATTTTTGCAGGTTTCTGTTTTGATGTTATGCTGCTATTGTTTTTGCAGCAAGTGGTGGCTTGAGATGGTAGTAGAGTAGCAGGCAGTACGGGTTGTCTTGAGGTGTGTGGGCAAATTGGTGCAAGTTGTCCTTGTGCTTGGGGCAGGCTTTGTACTATTATGCATAAGTTCTTTTTCAGGCATTAGTTGTTGCAATTTTTTGGTAGTAGGATGAGGTTTTGGCAGTTTGTTTGGTTTTGTGGCATGTCTTTATTTTTTTTGGCAGAAAACCCTTTATATTGTTTCAATGATATTCCATTCACTCTTTTTTGACCATTGGTTGTGTAGTGTAACTTCAATCTCTTACTATCTTCTTTTTTGGAATATTTGTAATGTATGGACATGTAAATAATAATAAAAAACAATGGGCTTTGGTTAATGGACTTAAAGTTTTTTTTTGAATGATTTTTGTGGTGATATTATAATAGAAATGAGTTGGATATGGATAAAAAATAAACAAAGAAAGAAAAGGAAATTGAAATTGATAAAAGAAAATGGATAATGATGGATTAAGATGTGGATTTTATTTTATGGATAAATTGAATTGGAAAAAAGAAATGGCAAATGATTATTTGTAAAGTTAATGGAAATGGATAGTGAATGGATATGGGTAAAAATAATAATGGAATTTGTTTTAAAATGAGTATTTGATATGGGAATATTGAATGAAAGAATGTGGATTAAATAAAATTAATATGGTTATTTGGTCATAATAAAAAAAATGAATAAATTCAAATGGATTCAAAAATGGTTAGAATGGATATTGGATATTGGTATTTGGTAATGGAAAATGGATTGGAATATGAAAAAGATTAGAAAATATGGTGTAAAGGGAAATGAAAATGGAAGAAGGGTTTATGGTAGAAAAAATAGACTAGAATGGATTATGAACACTGTTTAAAGACCGAATAACCAAATGAATCCAAAACCTATTTCAATCTTTTCACCAACATCCGATTAAATGAACACAACTACCACTAAACAGCTCGCAAAAGAAACAACAACCATTTGAGTGAGCCGACCTCTGAATCTCCAATCAAGAGAACCATGAATCATTTCGAATCTGTCTAGATAAGTCTCTGGGAAAATAAATCCACAGAGGATAATCGTTTGAATTGATGGATTATGATAAACCTGATAACTTCCATATATGACAACTTAAATTTAGGTACACACCACTGTGAAAACAACCAATGCCACAGATAACTCGCAACTGAAGAAGATTCTTAATGGTTTGACCATGATTAGGTCAATCTTCCCTCTGATATTGATCATGACCGAACAAAACACGCTTGACTTGAAACCACGTTGTCGCAACTGCGAAAAACAACCGGCGGAAAACAGAAGAGTCACCACCTTTCGTTATTTATCCCAAAGATAGGGAAAGGAAACGATCGGAAAAACCTGACGAAAAAGGGAAAGACAAGGTCATCGCAACCATGTCTGGATTCGGGAGTCGGTTACGCAAGGGGAAGGTATGAGCACCCCTCACGTCCGTCGTACTCGACGGGATCCACACATATGTTTGCTATCTAAAAAGTGTCTAAACTATCTACGCTAAAGGCTTATGGACAAAAGAAAAAGAAAAAAGGACTGACTCGATAAAGCATCTCCGCTCTATGCCTACGTACTCCCTCGTACAATGGGAAAGTCAGAGTTAACGTAGTTTGACTAACTACGGCTAAAGAAGGGGGAAGGTTGCTCGCTAAGACATCGCGTCTTATGCCTACATACTTTCATCTGGTATGAAAGATCAGAGCAAACGTAGTTCAGGCTTAAGATAACACAGGTTGTTCAAAAGTTTTACCTGAGTAGGGTTAACAAACAGTTCTAATAGTTTGGTTTATGCACTCGACCATTGGAGACTTAGGCGTTACCGTTTACGATAGAACTGAAAGTTAACAACACTCTTGCTTATGAAAAGGTTTTCCAAAGGTTAAGGGTCCCAAGGGACAAAAAGATTTTGAAGTTTGTTTGAAGTCTTTTAGAGAAGAAATGTTTTGAATTTGAGTGTTCATAATGTATGTTGTACCAAAGTCTAAAACCTAGGATCGAATGCGTCGCATATCGTCCTAAGAACGTATACTAAACAATCTAGGCAATTGAGAGGTAGCCACTCAATCACCATTTCCCAAGTATAAGGCTCATGACACAACATACGTTATCTTTATTAAGTGGATTGAAGTTGTTTGAAGATGAGAAGAGAAAGGGACAAACTAAATGGGGACTAGACCAAACCCTAGAAGTTGTCATGCAAAGTGCACCTAAAGTTGGGATTGCAAAAGGGAGACATCTACCTAATGTTATCATGCATGGTTACAACCCTAATGTCTATCATAACCTCTCTTGAACAAGAGAGATTAGAAATCCTAAGGGAAGGAAAAAAAAAGAAGAAGAAGAAGAAGAAAGAACAAAGGAAACTTGCAAATGAGAGAATGCATACATGGAATGCACAAGTAGGATGAAAGTGAGAGGAAAATATGTGTGGGGCAGTAGCCACCACAAGCTCATATCAACCAAGCATGCATATGAGGATGCAAAGAGAAAGGAGAAAGAGATGCATCAAAAACAAACACACAAGTGTGACAAAGTCACCAAGAGAAGTCCTCATGAATTCATCATTTTAGGTAAACTTCAAGTTCCTCCTAAGGAGGGACCAAGCTATCTTAAGTGACATTCCAAAATCATAGGACAAAAAAAATATGAGATAAGAGAATGCTCAAAATAAACATCACAAACACACCAAAGAGATGCAAGAAGAGGCAAGGAGAAAGACCAAAGTCTTACACACATTCAACACTTAAAGCACAAGTGGAAAGCCTACAAAGAATTGAATCAATCAATAAGCCATGAACATAATTTTGGCCTAAAAATGAACATAAAACAAGCTCAACATGTCTACTTTTTAAAACAAGAAGAGTTGAGAGTAGAATGGATCCACAAAGGTCATTTCCAATTCAAACTAGGTCATGCACTTGTATGAGCCACCTTATGAAATGACCTAACTTGCAAGTCATCTCAAAATTAGGAAAAAGGCTCAAAAATTACCAAATAAAATGCACAAGTAAGCTAAACAAGTTGGCAAATAGAAGCCAAAAGCACAAATCCAATATCCCCTCAAAGCACCATCAAAAGAAAACAATATTCAAGATGTACCACTTTGAAATGGGAGAATCAGGGTCAAAAGAAAAGCCACCAAAGTCAACCCTAAAGTCAACCAACTAGGGGAAAAATGGTCCTCAAAATTTAATCAACTCATCATGGATATGAGGATTTAATTTTAGTCATTGGACCCAAAAGAAATGAGAGAAGCAAATGAAAGATCAAACAATGTCACACTTTAAGTCATTTAATATACTTTCAATATTTAAATCCAACTTTAATTGAAAAATAAATCAAAAAATAAAATAAAATATTTCTAAAATCAGAAGACATCCCAAAGTGTCTAAAAAGTATTTTTATGAATTTTTTTGGATGATTGGAAGTATTTGAAAATGAATTAAATATAAACAGATAGAAAACAAAAATAAAAAGAAAATAAAAAAGAAAAAGAAAAAGACACGGTACAAAAAGCAATAAAAACAAGTTCAAAAACCAGGTTGGGCCCAAGGGGGGGTGCAATTAGCACCAGGAGGCCCAAACGTATGCCAAAAACTCAGAGTTTCAAACAAATCCAGTGTGGCTGGTCAATAGGATGACCAGCGTGGAAAGCAATCTGGGCCATTAAACCACATGGTAATCACATCACACGGCTATGAACATGCCAACACATTAATGAGATATTCAAACTGGATGTAGTGTTGCAAAGTCAAACGAGATACACGATGTTTCTTAATCAGGCACGTTAAAAAGAAAAGTATGTGCATCGTGTGGTCACAAGATCATCTTCTTCACTGAAAAGTCAGCAAAGTCAATGGAAAAATAGACGGTGGCTGGAGATCCCTTCCGGTCATCTTCTCCGGCCATATATCCACCGCGAATAGTAACCACAATGCACAGTCATCAATATTTCACCAAAAATGACAAACTGATAGTCAAAATTCACCTACTCCTCACAAGGAATCCAAATCCAGCATTGGTTTTCAATTTAAGGCAACACATAAAGCAAATCGAAGAGGAAAAGAAAATGTGCACAAACTGAAAATCTCAAAATCAACAAGCAAAAGTGCCCAGAAATTATCTACACATCACGTAGAATTCAAATCCACAGTTCATTCATCATAAA